TCACAAAAGCTATTGGCTTTCGTAGAATGAAGTTTGTGTCTGTAGAAGATAAAAGTTTTCCATTTATTGTAAGGTTTCATATAGATTATATATCTGAAGGGAAACGAAAAATGTGGGAAGAAATTGAGCTAATACAAGTTGACCTTTCATCTTCTCTACAGACTGCGTTAAAAAATATAGAAGATAAAATAAATTCATGTTATGCAAAATATGCTGATGAATATGCAAATACCGAGAGCACACTTTATGTGAGAATTGTATATGACAAACAAAATTCACAAGTGTCATTTCAAATCTACGAAGACAATCCAAAGAAAGACGAACAAATATATACAGAATTCACTGCAATGTCATGGTATTATTTGCAAAGAATGTTAAATCAGAAAGTCGAACTTCCTTTAGCAAATATTTACAGTCGATATGCAAGAGATGAACCATATTTATTTAAAGATGTTTTCGACCCAGCTGCTATTATTGTTCATGCTTCATTTTCTGGCGCCCAAAACTCTTTCTTATGCTTGGCAAATGACTTTTACGAAAAACCTACAAAGTTATACGAACCACCAAGTGGAAGTATTTCAGACTTTCAAGTATGGTTTACTACAGATGGAAGAAAAAGAATAATTCCATTATACCATGCGTTTTACTTAGAACTTAGTTTCATATACAACTACTATCGAACGGTAAAAATATAATTTTTTAATACGGTTGAGGTGTTGGATTTGGTTGCCAACTAGACTGTGGTGCAGGTTCAGGCTGTTGTATAACAGGAGCTTGCTCTTCTGGTTCAGGGTCTTTAGGTATAATACCAACAAACTGACCTACCCTTTTACCAATATTTTTGACACCGTTCCAAATTCCTCTTCCTACGGTTTTTATTCCATTCCATATACCTCTTCCAACATTTCGAAAGAAGTTTCCTATCTTACTGAAGAAACCCATTTACTATATGTAAAAATCTAATGTCCGCCTAGTCTCTTACGTTTCCTGTTGAGTTCCATAGCATTCTTTAACTGGAGCTCATACATTCTGTTTCTCCTCTGGTAGAAAACATATTCTGGGTCAACTCCTGTGTTCGCGTCATCTGCATAAAGTTGTTTATATCCCACTTCAGGGTTTGTATAAAACTCTTTCCATCTCATATTTGCATACCATGGTGGCAAACCTAACGCAGCGTCATTTGACATGGCAGTTTGCATTTGTACATCTGTTGGCACTTGACCATAGTTTGCCATTGCAGTTTGTATTCTAACTTCATTTGGAATATTCTCTGGGTTTGGTTGTCCAGGTTGCTGTGCATTCGCTAAGTTCTGTGCGTCCATTTAATATTAGATAAAAATATCTCTTACGAGTACATATACTGAACATTTGCAGGCATTGGTTCATCTTCATATTCTCTGTACTTTTCTGCCACGTCAAATAAATAAATGACACAATGGAAAAAACCTAAAACAAGTAGTCCTATTTCAAACCACATTTACTTACTAATAAATTTCTTTGTTATGACACTTTCTCCAGTTTATAGAACCTCTCTCATATTCTATCTTGTCATATATAAACTCATAGTCATGTATGTCCTCTAACCATCTCATAACGGTTTCCAAACCACTTTTATCGGATGTAAAGTAAAAGCATGGATGGTTATGTAAAACGTCTAAAGTTTCTAAAGAGTCTCTCAAAGTCCAGTCTACTTGGTATTGAAAATCCCATGTGTTATAGAACGGCGGGTCCACTATAAAGAAAACATTTTCCTTGTCTTTATATTTTTCATACAAATCTGTCCAATGACATCTCACAAACTCTATACCCTCAATATATTTTTCTATGTCCTCTTTGAAAACATTTGTATAGTTAAGATATAAAACTTTTGACATAAGTGTTTCAATGTCATGAACTCTTATAGAACCACTATATAATAGTCTAGCAGATATACTATCCCAGTCTATATATTCTGCTTTTTTCAAAACCTCTCTCACAATATTTTTGTTATCTAATGGTATACGTTCCATCTTACCTATAGGTATCTTTTCTTTTAACTCTTTCAATATATTGTTTGTGTCTGGTATATGTTTGAGACGGTCCATATAGTTGTCGAAGTCATTGCATATAATCTTTGAGTCTGGGAATATTATATGGCACAAATGGGATATATAGAAACTTCCACCGAACAAATCTACAAATGTTAGACCATTCGGTAGTTTCTTAAGTTCTCTCAATATAATATCTTTACATCTACTCTTATTTCCAAAGAATGGTAACGGTGGTTTTGTAAAATTCATTTATATATAATAATAAAAATGTTTTTACCCGAAAAGTGACAGAAAAGTGACAAAACATGTACGATGAAATCATGAAAATTCAAGAGGGTAGAAAAGAGGTTAGAAAAGAGGTTAGATCTAACCTTCTACCCTAAACTTTATTTTTGGGTCCTTTACACTCATTACGAAGAAATCTTGACAAAACATTTACGAAGAAGTCTTGACAAAACATTTACGAAGAAGTCTTGACAAAACATTTACGATGAAATCATGAAAATTCAAGAGGGTAGAAAAGAGGTTAGAAAAGAGGTTAGATCTAACCTTCTACCCTAAATTATATTTTTGTCCGATTTTACGAAGAAGTCTTGACAAAACATTTACGAAGAAGTCTTGACAAAACATTTACGAAGAAATCATGAAAATTCAAGAGGTGAGAAAACAGGTGAGAAAACAGGTGAGATCTCACCTCTTCACCTAAAATATATTTTTGTCTGATTTTACGAAGAAGTCTTGACAAAACATGTACGAAGAAATCATGAAAATTCAAGAGGTGAGAAAACAGGTGAGAAAACAGGTGAGATCTCACCTCTTCACCTAAAATATATTTTTGTCTGATTTTACGAAGAAGTCTTGACAAAACATTTACGAAGAAGTCTTGACAAAACATTTACGAAGAAGTCTTGACAAAACATTTACGAAGAAGTCTTGACAAAACATTTACGAAGAAGTCTTGACAAAACATGAAAACATATATAATTTGTGAAAAGTGACACATTATATATAATGTTTTCGACCCAGAAGACTAACAATTTTCCGAATAAAAAACTTCATTTATACTAAACATCTTCAGGGCTAGAAGGCACGAAGTGCCTGGAAGCCCCACTACCTTTTTTTTTTTTTTTTTTTTTAACAAGACTTTTCTGAAAAAATTAGTATATTTGAAGTTTTGCAAGGTTATTCTATTTTAAAATTATCTGATATTATATTCCAATGCATTTGCAATCATCAAAATTTAAAAATAATGACTTTTCTCTCAATTTAATTTGCAATAAAATTCGCAGATATTAGATTTTAATTAATATCAAAATATTAGCCAATAAAAACTTTTGATCAATCCACTTTTAAAATCGGAAAATCGTGAATTTTTAAAACACGCTTCGAAAACAGAAAAAAATGAGTCAGGGATAAATCACAAAAAAATGACATTTTAACTTTACAAAGTTTACATATGTAAAGCGGCATATTTGCCAGTTATTTGCCAACGACCCCAAAAAAAAGTTTGGCGCCAAATCGCAAAAGTGTCATAATCTCATAGTGGACCACAGCTGGTGTCGCCGCCGGCTATCCACTTGCTGTGATGCTACGCAGCCTTTGATCTGGCCAATCTTAGTGCTGCTCCATCCACATCAGCAAGTGATTTCGGCGGGAGATCTCCAATCGGTCTTCCATGAGAGTTCCGCAAGCCAGAAGCGCAATACCTGTGCAGTCTAGCTGCTAGGATATAGTAGCTAGGCTGTGTAGGTATTGCGCTTCTAAGGATATTAGTTATCCGTTATTGCCCTCATGCATTTGTACTACCGCCTTCTGGTCCCCAAAGGACTAAGGATTCTGTAATTACTCGAGCAGGGCAAGGTTCTTCCGAGATCTCTCATTCCATCGAAAGATCTCGGAAGAACCTTGCCTTAAACTACTTAATTACTGTTCCCTCGTTTTCAAAGAGCCAGGGATTATGTAGTTGATCTAATAAGGCAGAGTTTTTCCGAAGTCTCTCATTTGATGAGAGGCCTCGGAAGAACTCTGCCTTAAGATAGTATACTTGTGATCTCTAATAATTTGTGTGTCAGAGAATGTAAATTTATTCGACTAGGACATAGTTTTTCTGAAGTCTCTCATTTGATGAGAGACTTCAGAAAAACTTTGTCCTAGTGTAATGTAGTTGTTGTACTCTGTCAGCAAAGAGCGAGAGAATATGTCTGTAATTCGTTTATGCTGAAGTTATCTGGATGTCTCTTAAATGAGAGAGGAAATCCAGATAACTTCAGCATAAGTTAATGCAGATGTGGTTCTCTGGCTCTTTGTCGGCCAGAGAACGAATAAAAAGTTTATTGAGTGAGTAGGCTCGATGAATGCCTACTCATTGCAAATATACGTTATTTTTTTCATATGAGAAAATAGTTTTCCATTTTTATGATACCATATGCTTTGGTACACAATAAATTATCTATTTCCAAAGAATACAAGAGATTTTCTTGGATTTCTAATTTCGATAAATATTCAAATTTCTTCAAAACTTAAAATTAAGTCAACAGCATAAAAGAATGTCTAAAATTAATCATATATACCGTATTAAAATTTCACAAAAATTTCCAAAAAAATCGCATTTCGAAAATTTCGAAATCAAAGAGCACATTTTTCGCGGAGAAAAAAAGAAAAACGATTTTTTTTTGGAATTTTGGGAAGAAAGAATCTTCTTTATCTCATCATATAGTGCATGTTTTCACGTTCTGAAAGCGGAAAACGCATTTTTTGAATGCGGAGATTCCGAATCACACGGAAAAATTAGGTTTTAATAAGAAAAATAGACTAGTTATGATGAAATAGAGTATATGGTATCATAAAAATGGAAAACTATTTTCTCATATGAAAAAAAAATAACGTATATTTGCAATGAGTAGGCATTCATCGAGCCTACTCACTCAATAAATATATTTTTGACCGTTGAGGTATTAATACTGTTTAATCTTAGAAATGTTGTTTAATTTGCTCGCCAAGCCAATCAAGACCTTCATAGAGTCCATCACCTGTTGTTGCACAGCAACCTTGAACTTGCCATGGCCTGTTTGTGATGGTATTCAAGCGAAGTCTGTTTCCAAGCTCTTGAGGTTTAACAGCATTTGGCAAGTCTTGTTTGTTTGCATAAACCAAGAGGATCGCATCTCTCAGCTCATCTTCTTCGAGAAGCTTATGAAGTTCATCTCTTGCTTCATCAATTCTTCCGAAGTCGTTTGAATCAACAACGAAAATGAGACCATTAGTGTTGTGGAAATAATGTCTCCAAAGTGCTCTGATCCTATCTTGGCCTCCAACATCCCAAATGTTCATGTTGAAACTCTTGAATTCGATTGTTTCAACATTGAAACCAATTGTTGGAATTGTTGTGACGTGTTCACCAAGTTTTAATTTATATAAAACTGTTGTCTTTCCTGCTGCATCCAAACCAAGCATTAAGATCCTTGTCTCTCTGTTAGAGAACCATCTCTTGAATATTTCTGAGAACTGTAATCCCAAAATTTGTCAACGAATAAAAAAGCACATTACTATTCATTTAACGCAACTATACATTAAATATTAAAATGACAAAAATTTTTGATTCAAAATTAAACACCCGACCAATGTAAATCATTCAAAAAAAAAATAAATATGGTGATATATGGAATCCAAGAATATTATTTATATTTTTGTTTGTTATTATCATATAATGAATGTTCTTTCATTACATTACTATAAGCTTAGGTATATATTTCCTTTATGTATTTCTCAATTTGATTTTATAGTTATAATCTTGAAATCATATACTTCGCTTCTGTATCTAAAAATATGATGGAATTGAAAGATTCACACGTGAGGAATATGATTTCAAGTTAAAATTAACAACAAAAATAAATTGAATTACATTTTCAATAAAAAAAATATTTACTTAGTGTATGGTTTTGGTTTGATCAACATGATAGCAACAGATTCTGGTTCTAATCCATAAGTTTCTAAGAAATTCGATATAACAACATTGTTTTCAATGTAATCTTGGCTTGATATTCTAACTTTCGGACTTGAAAACGCGATCTTCATTTTATCCATCGAATTCTGCGAAATTTTTGCCATCTGCGAAATCTTATTTCTTATATCAGAAACAGTTTCTTTCTCAGCGATTGGAACGTAGAAAGGAGTTCCTTCTGTGTGTATGTAACTCTTACTATCCAATCTAGCGAAGTTAACTTGCATCAACATCATGGATTGTTGGTTTGCAGGAGTTACATCAATTCTTAATGATGTGTGTGGAGTCATGATTAATTTGTCATTTTGTGTCTGATAAGCATGCGTCAAAGTTCCAGCTGTTTCAGCGAGACATCTCAAGCTTGACTTAGGCAATTGAACACCTGTATCCGTGAGGAGTTGTAAGACTGTTGCAAGTGTCGTGTCAGGATCAATGAAGTAAGAAAATTGATCTGAAATATTGACACCATCTCTTGCAATTTTGACATGAACAGTTTTACATTTTCTTAGATCCATTTCAGGATCTTTTGCGAGATGGTAAAACAGGATTTTCTTCTTTTTATTGAGCATTTCTTCTTTAAGAGGTGAAGAAAGTGGCAAAGGTATTTGGCAAGGAATATCTCCACCCTGATGATCACTTGCGAAGAACAACATTACATCTCTTGCTTTGTTGTATCTTAATTTTGTAATTTTGACAATTGCTCTTTCTAACTGTGAGAAATGAATTGTCTTTGGCATTGAGAACAAAATAGGAGACAATCTGTAATCATTGTAATCGAAAGCAAGAACATCGTAGTTCTCTTTCAACTCGTTCATGTATTCCTTGTATGTTTGAACAACAGGAACATCTCCTATCAATCTCAATGGGTTCACAGGAACAGAAGAAGACTTTGCAGGCCTTGGAATATCATTTCTGCAATCAAACAATTTGAATCTTTGTGCAGAAAGCTTCGGCATCGTTGAGTTAAGAACTGTATCTGCTTGGAAAACAATTGTTTCAATTTTTCCAAAGTTTTGAGCTCCAATGACTGCAGTCATCTTCAAAGGATCTCCTGTCTTTTCATTGTAAGCAATTAAAACTGTTTCAGGCTTGAAAGCTAATCCGACAACAACATTTTGTGTAACAGAAGAAATAGGAGTTGTCGGAGAACAAACAACGGATCCCAAATAAACAAATGGTTGATCCATTGTTGGATCATAGTATTTGACGAATAATGTGTAATGGTCGTCAGGAATACTAAGGCAATCAATGCTTTTACGTGTTTGAATGAAGATCTTTCTCGTTGGAACACCACTGAAATCTGCTTCTTTCGTCATTGGAACGAAAACTAAATCTTCATCATTAGTTATAACAAACAAACGAATTGTTTCAACAGAAACACCTGCTGCTTCGGCAACATCGAAGTAGATCTGATCTGTTGATGAATATGGATCTAAAAGGACTTTTCCGATAGTTTCTATCGCTTGGAAACCTGGTTTTGATGATCTGGCCAAGAATCTAAGTGTTTCTTCTGTAAAGAAGGCAAATTCGGTGGTTCTCTTCTGTTCTGAGAGCTGGCAATGGTTCTGTAATAATGTTTGTTGCTCTTGGATGGCACTGTCAGCGAAATTCTTGTCAACAATGATGTTTGATGTATCGAATATTCCAAATTGTCCGTTTAACTTGGTATAAACGAGACAAATGAGTTTCTTCTTGAAGTTTGCATCATATACTTCTTGTTTTGATACAATACTTGCCGTAATTCCGTCAATTCTGACCCAATCTCCTTCAATCTTTGGTTGAACAAACAAAATATGACGGCCACCGTCTTCTATCAAGACTTCGTGGAGGACATAATCGAGTTCTGGTCCGATTTTGATCCTTTCTTTGAACTCAAACGGAATTTTCGACCTTTGTTTGTGCGGCCACATTGGTAAAACGTCTGGATATACATCAGGTGGTGATGTAAGTTCGATGGCTTGTTCAATGGTCTTTGCTTCTCTGTTGTTTAAAATAAATGTTGGAATAATCTTGGAAAAAACGGAGTTTCCAAGGACACCAGTAAGTCCAAACATTATTTCTGCGAATAAATCAATTGGAGAATGACCTTTCAGTGGCCATGGTAATGAATTAAGGACTCCATCGCAAATAGAATATTTTGGACTTGATTGTAGAACTGCAAATGTCTTTTTGATCTCTTCAATGAACTTAAATGATTGAGAAATTTCACGTAATGTAAGAAACATTGATCTTATCATTGGAATATTGTAAATTAATTCTAAAATTGCAGGAAGATATGAAGATTCTTCGATGGATGTGACGGATCCAACACCATTATCGAGCTTTCCAAGATCATCAGCTTCAAGAAGGAATCTGCGCGGAGAAGCAACAGGAAAATCTGTTTGTGGACGAACTGGAGAAAGAACTGGGACTGGATTTGGTCCGTACTTGTTGATGTAGTCAACATCAAGTGGGTTTGTTGAAAATGTTGTTGAAACTGTTGCAGGATCTAATGAAATCACTTTGAATAAATATTGGATATCAAAACTGCCTGTAGATGTTAAATAAGTATTAAGTGCATCCATATGCATGCCAAAATATAATGTATCTGATGAACAGAACGATGAGATTTGAATTTGACGAGATTTGCGGATTTCTGTTGCAGAAGGTGAAGTTATTGCGCATTCAAGAATCGCTTGCAAACCATCAGATGAAAGATGATTGCCTGATATAACTATATTGAAAAATGCTTTAGGATTTGTTGTTTTTCTAATTGATAAACTAATTTCGCCAAAATTTCCATTAGCAATAACTAATGGTTCTACTGGCATATCACTCTTCCACTCATGTATTGTCCATGTACCGTGGAAAGATGGAAGTTTCTGCTTAGATTTCATCTTTTTTTGAAAGCCGTTATCAATCAAAAAAACGCCCAGAATGTAAAAATTAGTATTATGAGCAAAATAGGCTCAAATTTTTGTGTAAATTTAAAATTATCTATAAAATCTCACTTATAAGCTTCATTTTTTAGAATCCTAATTTAAATTGTCTAACACGAATTATCAATGGGATGAAACATCTAAGACACTCACAATTATTTCAGATGGGACACCTATTGCTAGTTACCAATCCCAACATAGAACAGATGCTATTCATATTGAAATCCAAGGTCCTGTTAAAATCATTAGAAGTGGAGCGTTTTCGGGATACACTAGTTTGGAGACAATCCTTTTCCCGGACACTGTTGAAATGTTTGAAATAATATAATTAAAGATTCAAAGATAAGAACATTGCACATTCCTTTCAATTTTAAGATATATGATGTAAATGGACCCCTAGAATATAACTATTTATTTGAAGAATTCACAATTGATGAGAATCAACCAAATTTTGCCGTGCTTGATGGAGTTTTGTACTCAAAAGATATGACGAAATTAGTGAATATACCACCTAATTACGATGCAAAGGTATTCACAGTCCCATATGGCGTCAAAGAAATAGTTTACAGCTCCACCGATTGCCTGCAAAAAATAGAACAGTTGATATTTCCACAAACAGTTAAAATAGCTAATTCAATTCTATATAGACCAAAGTCCATTAAGAATTTGATAGTTTATCAAGATAACAGCTCAAATATATCTATCAAATTCCATAATGGTTTTGATCAATCGCCAATTAATGTAAATGACACAATATATATTAATTCAAGTTTGTATGCTACATATTATAAAGGAAACAGAACAGTTGTAATCTCTACGACTAATAGCAGCCAAATCTATGAATACACAGACAAAACTCTTAGCCTCAACACAAACATTAACACTATTATTTATCCTAAATGCGTTGTCAATATTTCATCTTCATCTTTCAAGCCCCTCAGTCATAACCAATTCGTAGTACATATTTTTGATGATTATATGGAGATTTCAATCTCAAATTATAGATATACTGTTGTGTGTCGTGACTACATATCTCTACATTTCTCAATCTCTTCTTTTTCTGTATTTATTCTTCTATAAAATAAAAGCAAGAATGTTTTAAGTATGCATTATATAATATTTCTTCTATCATTAGATGCAGATATAAAATCGAATGATGAAGAAGGTTGAGCTACTATTCATTATGCTTATCTAAGAATTGATATATAATTTGTTGATTTTCCTCTTTTAAATGATGTAGATATCGATGCAAGAGATAAAAACTATGGCTTGTCTCATTAATTTAAAGGATAATAAGAGAAAACTCAGGCTTCATATTACAGCACACAATCAAATGCTATGCATCAAAGAATTAGATAATAACCAATATTAACTTGTTGAAATTAAGTAAAACTTAATAATAAAACCTTTACAACAAGTTTAAATTTTTAAATTATAAAATCTTTAGAATTATTGCAATATTTATGTTGAAAGTATGATTCATTTTGCATCACTATCAATTATAATGCGCATCTATTTTTCCAAAATTTTTCTATTTTTCATTTTTCTCAATTAAATTTGTATTTTTTACCTTGATAAAGATATTTTTAGAATTTTTTTTGGGAAAAATTATTTCGTTCATTAGCTCAACGGATGTGATCCTAACTATCTACCATATAAGTTAAACATTTTTATTGTCTCAAAAACCTTATAAAACAGAAAATTATATGTAATTTTGTTCATATCTTAACAATCAAGATGTTACAAAAGAAGTTTGCGATATAAACTTCATAAACATAATAAAATACATAGCTTTTCATATAGTATCCCGCGTTAGACTCATGAACATTTAAATCTTTTCTCAAATTTTTGATATTAATATCTCTAAAATGCCGGGATAAATTTCTGCGATTCTATGTTTATTAGTTTTATAGCAGGTGGTAAGTATATATATACATTAGCAAAATTGAAAACTGGGCAAGAAAATTGATCTGGACTACCTTTGAATCGACTTCTTATTTGGAAATGTTGCGTCCTTTATTATCTATACATTAGGGCTGCAATTCTGAAATATCTTTCTCCATAATTACAAATTTGTTCGTTAAAATTTTAGGTAATAAATCAAATGAGTCTTTTTCAGCGAATTATCGCTGAAGGGGACCTTATTGATTATAAGTTTAATAAAGACAATATCCAAACTGTCGTTAGTGAGCTTTTAAATATGATAGAAAAGCAACAAGAAACGATAAATAACATTAACGACAGATTAGAGACTTATGCAACAAAAACAGCAACAGAATATTTATCAGAACAGATATCAAATTGCCTTAAAGAGCAATCTAAGTTCATGGAAGACATAAATAAAAAAGTTGATGATGAATCAAAACAATTAAACGAAAATATGAAACAATTAAGAGATTGGACAGAAGAATCCAACAGTTCTACACTTGTCGACGTCAGGAGATACCTTTCAACTGAACTAGAAGACTTAATAAATCAACAACAACAGCAACAACCGAAAGAACAAGAAAAACCACAGCAGCCTACAAAAATCATCGAAAGACAAGTTGGAAATGACGATAGTGCAAGAATCAATCATCAAATATCTCAACTTCAGATCAAAATTGATAATCTCGAAAGTCTTACAAGTAATCTTCCTTCTCAGGACTCTGTGAGGCGTCAAATTGAAAGCGTATCGAACTACTCAGAAGATATCATGGATCACAACATCAGATTAAACAATTTAGAAGGAAATATTCCCCAATTAAACGATATTATTAAATCTCATTCCAAATACATAGAAAATCATTCAGGAGTTCCAACACCAAGACTAGTAGAAGAACCTAAGCCTACTCAAACATCCGCAGCTACAAATCCTGAACCAAATACTCCAATAAAATTAAGAATCGACAGTACTAACAGAAGTTTCATTACTACACCTTCTATGAGTATTTTCTCGATATCTGCAATGTCAACACCTAAGAAAGAACCTCTACAACCTGGAATGCAAACTCCAATTGTAATTGGCGGCGATAACTCTGAAATAGAAAGAGTTGTTCGCAGACAAAATGATACAGTATCAAGTATCAGACTAGTTGCTGATGGATTGGTCGACAGATTCAATCAATTTGAGAACAAATACAATCAATTTGTTGCACAGATCGGTATGAAGAATTTAGAGTACTCACAAACATTGGATCAGATCCAAGCCCAACTTGGAAGAGTTCCTGAGATGATTTCTAAAGATCCTGCGTTTAATAAATTATTTGATCCTTATAAAACAAAGATACAGACCCTAAATGAACGTGTAACTTCTCTTGAAACCAAACACGCACCTGTTCATTCAGCTCTTTACGAAATGCTGGCGAAAGATCCTCCATCTCAACCACAAACGCCTCCAGAGCCAACAGAAGCGGATGTTCAAATGGACAACTCGATAAAGAGCGGAAATGCAACAAGTTTCAGAGAAAAAACGTTCTCAACTTCGACAAATCACAAAGTCATCGATATTGAAAGGACAAGTCCGAAATTGGAGATCTCTGATGAAGATAAACCTGTTCAATTCGCTCCACATACCATAGATATACCAAAACAAAGCAAAGAAACAACCCAAATTAAAATTATTCACAAATCTGACAGAAAAAGCGCTGAATTGCTTGCTGCTTTACAGAATGCACAAGCACAACCATCAATATCTCAAGATGAGATCCAAGAACGCGTAGATGCTGCAATTAGAAATACTTTGACTGGATTTATCGACAGAGTGAAGAAAACAGTGGCCGAACAGATCGAAGAAGGAATTAAACCAATCCACAAAGTCCAAGCAATGATAGAAACTAAGATTGACCGAGATTTTGTCGAAAGAATATTTAATAAGTTCAGAGTATTGATTGGAGAGCTTAAAGATAGAGTTGATAATTTCCAGATGAACTTCCAGAACTGGATAACCCGCGAAGAACTTGAAGAAGTCTTAAATCGCTTCTCAACAACTCTCCAAGAGGTTAAAGACACTGCTGGAACAAGCAGCAAGTACAAATGCTTACTTTGCGGAAGGCCAAGGACACATCTTGCAGGAATGATCGTTTCTTCGCCAAGAGATGAAGATGACGAAAATTCTAGTACTGGATCAGAGAAAGAAGCGGAAACTCCTAAACGCGCTTCAACTGCTAAGTCTAAATCAAGACTTCCTAAAGCTCCAAATAGCATCAGAAGACCAGTTTCTCACGCAATGCCTCGTGATATCGTTCAATTATTCACAGGCAGAGAAAAGAATTAGAAAATTTATGTTTTATAATCTTTTTGTTTATTGTTTATAAATATGTTTTGTTTATAAATCGAAATTTTGAAAATAATCTCAATAATATTCTGAAGTTTGCTCATTATTTTATCTCATTATCATGCTAGAAGTATATTTAATGTATAACTCGAAATACTCATGTACGAAAAAAATAAATCTCAACAGAGTTCTGGTGTTTGTTAACGAAAATTCTTATTATTTTAGATTAAACTATTAATTTGAACCGAAATAAAGCCGTCTGTTTCCAAAAATTGTATAACTATCTCTCTATATAAGTTTAATATAAAGAATCTTCATTATTTTAGGCCATCTTATGATGCAAGCTCTTTAATATTGAAAAGTTTCTCAAAATATATTTGAGTCAATGAATGTCTTTCTTAGATTTCGTTGATTTATTTGAAAATTGAATTTGAAATTTAGTAACAAACTGATTACTAGAAAAAAAGTATTAACAGTTTTTTAAATATATAATATTTAGTCCTTAAATTAATACAGTATAATTTAGCTTTGACCAAATTTTATAATCGAATTCATCAAGGTTGTTTTCATCAGGCATTACGTGTTTGTCTGATTCTATGCATCCTGGAGAGATCTCCAAGATCTGTGTTCCGCAGCAGGAATAGCAAACCTTTGTCTGTGTGATTGTTTGTCCAGTATTTTCATCGAGAACTTGAATTTTTTCTTCCATAACATCTTCACCGTTTTTCCCTTTGAATGAGATTCTTTCTCCTGTGTGTTGTCCTCTTGGGCAGCTGTGTACTTTGTGGCAACTCTGGCAATTGCAAAGCGGGCACTCGTAATAAGCAATTTCTTCAAAAATTTTATAAACATTTTCTTTGAATTTTTCAGTAATTTGGTCGATTTCATCTTTTGCAGTGGAAAGAGGGAACATATAGATGTAGATATTTGTGAGGCCTTCTGTCTTGGGTGCAGGCTTTAATTCGTACCTCATTTTAACGATTTCGTTTGAAGAATTATGGAATTTTCCTGTTTTTTGTTGTTTTGTCATTACTGAGATGTAATCTTGGGTTTGGTTGCTCTGGATTATCTGACTCTGGCTGTATATGTTGTAAAGAACATCATCTAATTGAGCGTAAATGGATCTTGATGAGTTTTTCAATGGAACAAAAATTCTTTGGACAATTGTTGTTAATCTTTGGCAAATTTGAACTGCTTTGATACCCATGTAATCAGCAAATGATATAGCAACATATTGGCCTTCAAGTTCAAAGGCAACTGGAAGAATTGCTGGTAATAATAATTTGTAAATTGTTTTGCTTTTAAGGAATCTCTTTTGATCGTATCCCTTCTCCTCATCAGTTTGGTTCAACGCTAAAGCTTCAACCAAGAAAACAGCCATAGGAATAGGAATAAATTGTTTATGGCCAAAAGCTCTGGCATTTGGTAATGGATCTAAAGAGCTTCTGCATAAGTTCAAAGAAAGATCTTGGCGGATGTCGGATGGGATTGTTCCGTCTTCTTCTAATTGAACAATTTCGTCCTTTAATGAAAATCCGTATTCTTGGGCCAGTAAAACGAATCTGTACATATTCTTGATTGAATCAAGACAAAACGTGTTGTAAATAGCTTGGAAAACTTTCTTTTTGGAATTTTGGGATTGTTTCTTATTTTGTGTTTGAATTGATGTAAGTTTCATAGGACCAAATGTATATTTATTATCTGATGGGTCGATTTTTGCGGCAAATGATACATTTGCAACAAACTTGAAATCGTTATTCTCGAATTTTATTGGTTTGGAATCTTCTGGACGAGAAAATCCATGAACAACGTATAAAATTTTAGCAATATCTTCAGGAAGTGATAATTCAGCTGTTGTAAAATCAGGAGATGCAAATTTGAAATTATATTTTTCCATTAAATCATCGTAAATGGTTTTGATTTCAACTTTTGCTGCTCTCTCAATACGATGACCACCAATAGTTTTATCAACAGCTTTTTCTACTTGTGTTGTTAGATTTTTTGGAGAAAAAACGAGTTTATTAACCTGAGTTGGAAGTCCTAACAAGGTAACAATGTCTTTAATAAGTTCAGGATCATAGATAACTGCAGTATCTTCATGTACTTCAAATCGTTCCGTCATTTTTTTGAAAAAACCGTAATTCTCTTTGAAAATGTCAAAAAATCACATTTATTAAAAATAAATCATGATAAGTATGTATGTTATGTTTTTGAATGTTTTCCAAATTTTCATTGAAAAAGTGACATGATATTTCGAAATTCTAGCCGAAATTGTCTCGAAAAAAGAAAATCGGATAGTTAAACAAACAATAATCAGATATAATTCTTTACAATATACAAAAAATCATTGATGATTTGCAAGACAATACAAAAAGTGCATTACACTACCAGCAATTGGTGTTCTTAATGTTGTTAAGGATTCTCTTTGAATCGCTCTCATGAAACTTCCATCATGGTTTCTTGATGCAGCAATTTCGATAATTTGTTTAATTGCATCATTATATTGCTCTTTCTGGATGATAGTATAGCTTGGTTGTTGCTTAAGGATGCAAGCCTGTTCAATGAAAGAAACTGCCTGCACTCTATGAGGCTCAACCAAAGCTTCCATTCCAGAAGCATCAGGGAAATTCTCTGCAATGCCTCTCATTAAAAACACTGGCCTGCAGACTTGGCTGAATCCCTGAAGAAATTCAGCAGGAGGATGGATCGGATGGAAATCTTTGAAATAATAAGTTCCATTCGACATAACTTTAAACAGGAAGCACTCGAAAAATACCAGAGCTCCTCCTAGATATCTTCCTTTCTGTGTTCCCCACTTAACTCCCATAATTACAGACATTAATGACATAATGTGAGCAAGTTGAGGTGGAAACTTATCTACATTCTGGTTCAATGTCCTAATAACAACACCAATCAGGTTACTGGCCGTTTCGATGTTGAATGAGCCATTAAATGAAATTTGGCCTCTGTCGATATCCATGAGCATTGGAGCGATCACGGATCTGAAGTAGTCCTGACAGTAATTAGTAATAATCAATTCAATTAAGACTGCCAGGTAAGAATCGTCTTGTAACAATTCTCTGTCACTTTTATCGCTATCAAAAACTTCCCTCATGGCCAAACAAGAATAAAGGCCATTATTCATGGATAAATAGCTGTAAACTGTTAAAATAAGGTTCATTATCTTCTTGGAATCTACTGCTTTGATTACTTCTTTGCGGAGAAGGGCTCTTATGATTAACATGTCGTGCATTTCGATTGCGCGCTTGTCTTTGTCGAAAATTCGCTCGGGAAGAGGCCTCTGGAAGTATGGGAATGATGAATAGTAAGGAATATTGTCAGATCTGAGAGCATGAGTTTCCCAGAGCTCTGTATCGTATCCTGGAGGTGGAACAAGCATGAAATCGATCTTGGAAGGCGTTGAGCTGAATTTAATTGTCTTTTTGCTGCGGCTGAGCCAAATAATATCGCATTTGAATTCTGTGTAGAGTTTATTATCTGATGCACGGAATATTCTGACCATATTATCGTTGTATAAGACCGCCCAATATATCTTTTTGTGTCTTCCCCAGAAATCGCGTCTAACTCCGCTAATCATGCATTTAACGCCATCTGGTGATTGAAAATCTTGTATAATTGGAACTTGACAAAGGTTTTGTGATACCCATCTTATTAAACCACAGCTTTGTGGATTATCTTCCATTAAATCAATAAGTGTTGTAATATCGAGTTTTGTATCTTCTGGAAAGCTATTAAACAAGTCTTCATAGTGAGCAGGATCTGATGATGCAATTTGATTTAATATTGATGAATTAAATAAAGTTCTTATATAATATGTAATTCTGTCGAATATATCTTGTTCAAATTCACTTTGACGAGTACATAATGGCTTAATGGCTTTCTTAAAATCTTCATAAGATCGATTTCTACTTGATATTGAGTTTTTTAATTTTGATTCGTTAAAATGCGCTCTCATTGAGTGGACTGAAGATGATTCAACTGTAGCAATAAGGAATGGTTGTTCTAATTGTTCAATTATGGAGCCTCTAACTTGATTTAACGGAACTCTTTGTTGAGGTTGCTGATTTTCTGAGGATTTTTCTGAATCAGATGAACTATCATCTTTTGGACTAGGTGGGGATGATTGATTCAATGAGCTTTTCGACTTTGAAGAGTCAGATGACGAGTCTTCCATAATTTTAAAAAAATCCAAAAATGTAAACTTCATAAAAATTGATTTTGAAAGAAATTATGCAACTTGAGAGTGTTTTATCTAATATTTTGCTTTACACAAGGACAAATATATAAAATTCAATTTGATTTGGTTGAAATCTATCTAAATTAACACAATTTTGATGCAAAATTAGATGAAGAGCTTTGATCATAGCAACTATATCTATGCAAGAGGGTTTTATCATCTTAAATAGAATAGTGGTTATGAAAACATCTCAATAATCAATAATTTTTAGTTTGGATATCAGTATTTGATTAAAGATTATTGATCTAACATAGATAATTGGTATATCATTCAAATTGACTGACATTGTGAATTGTTATGCTTTGAATTCTATCGAAATATATGTGATAAATATGAATTATTTTCTTATTCTCATTTGAAATATGATGATTCAATTAAAAATAATAGATTATGAAGAGTTACTAATGTTTACTAAAGTTTGTAAAAAAAGAGAAAGTTTATTAACATAAGAAATACTTTTATTGATAATTGCAAATTCTGCTTGGCAATTACCAGTTGAAAAATGAATCAATTTGTTAGTAAATAGTTCTCTTGGATTAGTAGGTTTTACATTTCTAGAAAATGTTGTTGAAATCGAATTGTCAATGTAACAACTATCAACTGTTAATTCATCATAATAGTTATATATCAAATATGAATATTTAGGAGCAGTGTTGTTAATAAAAGAACAACTTTTTACAGTAAGAGAATTATAAAAATGGTAAATAATTCCATATTTTGATTGTGTATTAGTATTATTTATAATATTACATGAATCAATCAAAGCTTTATACCAAATATTTATCACATCTCCATTAATATCTGTTGCCAAATTATTAACAACAGTTGTATAATTAAATTTTGTTGTGTATTGAAGTGATTTACCGTTAAAATATCCAACAGGTTGTGCTAAAGCTTTACATGATGAGAAATTTGTTGATGAAACAACAATATTATCACTTATTGCTCTAAATGTGTTGCCACCAACGCTTTCACTTCCTACATCGAAAAGGGAACTTTCAATAAAAAAATTTAAGTTATCTGTATCAACTTCTGTATATGAAAAGTGACCTTTTCCGGAGCTTTGGCATTTTGTACAACAGAATTTTCGTTGAACAATTGAACTATTTCTGCCAATTTTGTAGTAAACGCAATTTCCATCTGATGTAGAAGTGCAATTACTAAAAGAACACCGGTTGTGTAGGAAGAATGTGTTAACAATCGGATTTAAGCTGATAACATTGTTATTATCATTAAAAAAATTGCATTCATCTAAATAATATTGGCCATTTGAGGATGATGGATTGCAATTTTGACAATGTTCAGTTTTTAAACCTGTGAATTGATGATTGAAGTAGTAATTCCAGGGATCGTCATCTTCTGCGGATGACTTTTCCCCAAAATTTCCCACTATGTCATATAACCGTTTTTATCCATACATTATTGGTCAAATCTCTTAAATTAGAACATGCAATTTGATAGTCCAACGAATTACATACTTCATGCTTCTTGATTACGAGAAAGTATCCATGTTATATCGATATGGGCAATAAAAAGTTAAATTACAGTCTCACACATGGAAAATAATCTTAATTTCAAGCATTGTAATACGTTCTCATTTTCTGTCAACTTCAAAACAACAAACAGATTTTTCAAAGATAATTACTCTTATCTGTAAATTGTAAATTGCCATCGGTTATTTTATCATAGTTCACTAATATCATTAAAATAATGTGCTTTGGTTCGATTATCTGATGATTTTATTGAAATTTAATTGTAAAAAGTGTTTAAATTTCTGTAATTACCCAACCACCAATTTGTTTGAGTTCAACTATACTTCTTGATATAATAAATTTTCTAAATCAACATATTCAATCAAACACAAAAGAGTCACTTTTTATTTGAGAACCGTTGATCTTCGAATATTGAATTCAATACAGTTTTATATCAAAAATATAGGTATTATTGGGTTCGTTATCTATTATGTATGAAAATTTTCTCTGAAATATAGCGAACTACCACGCCGAGACCGATACATCGCTTATATGTTGATCACTTTTTTATATTTTTTTTTTCGAATAATTTTTTTTTTTATGAAAATGAATTCCTATTCCCATCCCTTTATATATGCCCAATACCAGATGCAGCAGCCACAAAACAACTCTGCTGGCATCGTTAAGAAAAAATCTACAGCGCGAGTTGCAAGGCTGGTCCGAAATCGGAATAGTGATGCCGATGAAGAACCAAAAATGCCACAGACGCAAACAAATTTATCAACACCAAACCTTTCGCAAATGTAATATCAACCTTTCGGCTATCAATCATGTATGTGTCGCGTAAATTCAGATTCTATCAGCTTTAGTTTACCCCCTTTAAATCCAAGATTAGTCTGCGATTTCTCTTTTGAATATACCATTGATAATCGTATCGTTATTAATACAAGCTCTACAACTGTTATACCATTTATCTTGAATGATGTACCATTTTCTTTGAATGGAAACGAAATAGACGTGACAGATCAAATCAAAATGGGTCAAAATAGACTAATATTCAATACAATGAACGAAAGGCAGGTTATCACTGCAAATGTTCAATGGGAAAAAGCCAAAAACGTTGAAGCGGTCGTCTACAAAATTATGTCGAAATTCCCTCCAATGGAAATTGTGCCCACTAGCGAGTTTGTCAACGAAATTGATCCGATTTCTAAAAATCAGATCAGCTTCCCAGGCCGAGGGTCTACGTGTACTCATGCTCAGTGCTTTGATCTCAAGGCATTTTTGAATAGAGCTTTTGAAACTTCGCATTGGGAATGTCCTTTATGCGGTACCTATCTTACAGAGAACGATCTGCGCTATGATCCTTGCTTTTTTAGAAATTGCGGTACTTCATTTTTAGCCGACGACCTGTATGATACTAATGTTAACGACTTCTTTTAAAATTTTTGTCATTATCATAAACAAATATTGTGTTAATAACCTATATTATTCTTCTAAGCAACACTAAAGAGAATATTTACTAACATATTCATACTTGTTGCTTGCATTTTTTTCAAATATTTTTTATTTTTGCTTATTAAAAAAGCTTATTGCACATACGATAATTCCAAACTCTTGAGATGTTTATAATGCAGTGCTTTAAATTATAAAATTTTCCAAATTTTGGAAATCAATTTCTATATTTCATACAGAAAAAGTTTGATATTCTAATCATACCATATCAATGCTTAATAATAACGCTAACTGTAATACAAATAAGGATAAAAAGTGACATAAAATTTCCAATCTCACAAAATAACTTAATATTCATGAATGTTGCTAGATGTCAACAGATTATCTAAGAAACTAACGTTTAGCAAGTATGGAAGCAAGGAAATTAAGAATAGTTTATCATATCAAGTTTAATTTTTTAATTATTTGCAAATTAAAATTAAAATAATCTTATCATCAAAATCACAAATAAACATACTACAAGATAGATCATCTATCATATAAACTTTATGATTTCTACTCACTTCATAGATTTATCAATTATTAAGATTAATTCCATAAGATGACTTATCTGATCCACTTATATCTTAAAAGAACATTAAAATGGCCTTAAGATTTCAAAATCAATCGAGTATTTAAACCGATCTCAGAGAAGAAACCGTTAAATAATGTATATTTGACACACATTCAATTTTTTTGACAAAGGAGTTTCAAAGCATGTATTTTACCCAGATATGATATAATATTATGACTTGGCATCGCATGCTCGTATAAAATATTAAATTGAAATTGAAAAATTTGGTTTATTTTACTATGAAATCTACTTCAGAGAGAGGGTCAAAGTTGCTATTTGTCACTTTTCCACAAGAATATAATGGAGAAAAAGTTATCATATAGTTGATCTCATTCACTGAGGTGAGAGATGCATGTAGTGTAATATGTAATGGGATAAACAGTGGGATTACTGCTCTAAGTCCTAGGTTCGAGACACATTGGCTTCATTTTTCTCTTTTTTATTGACGTAAACTATTCAATTTTTGTGTTCTCCATTCAAATTTCAGAATTTTTTTTGCAGATTTCACGCTACATTCGAAGTTACCTTTTGTAACAACCACCACTGCCTACGAAAGACGAAAGTGTGTCACGATTTCACCCGGAAATCCGACGGTTGTTTAAGAGTATGCACTTTTGTCACCTACTCATCTACTTCACATGTTAGAAGGTATCAATAAAATTTGAGAGAATGTCAGAAAGTGACCGTTAAGGATTTTCAAAGGTTAAACTTTATGAAAACTAGATTAGCTAAAGATGATAATGCAAATCTAATATATATATTGCTTCTATAGGTGCACTTCAGGTTAACTTTAACAACAACTAGGTTCACATTATTACAGATTTTATCATCAGATAAATCGTAATAAATTGAAAACACATCATTTCTGATATTGTTAAGAACTAATTTTCCCGACCCAGTTTTTGTTTTAAAACCAACATAACTGTTTGTAACAGTTACTACAGCATCACTTTCACTCCCTGTATCAAAGCCATACTCAGCATTATTTTCAAGAAAAATACAATTATCAAAGTTATCTAAATACGAACAAGAAACTACATATTTACCACATTTATTTTGAACAATCGCAACAAATGAATTAGCGATTCCATATGGAAAGCGGGTAGTAAATATATTTAAATACCCATCAATTCAAATTTTTTGGGTCCCTTTTTCAATGAAATCATAATGTCCAAAACAATTTGAAGTGATTGGTATTCCAATATACTCCAAACAATTTTTCTGAGCAAAGCTCAGAAAAAGTTTGGAGTATATTTCTAATATTCAGTACTATTTGGAATATACAATGCAATTCTACCCGCCTTTCCAATATTATCATTAAAATTATTTTTTAATGTGAAATTGATAATATGCAGATTAAAACAATTTTGACCATCATTTAATTCATTATCAATTTCAAACAAATTCATACTTTCATTCATAAAGCTTAAATGTCCAGATCCATCTTTTGTTTTCAAAGAAACATAGCAATTTGATAAAACCATTGTTTGAAAACCAATTTCCAAATAAAAACCATAATTAGCAATGTTATCATGAAAAATGCACTTATTAAAACTAATTATATTTCTACTGCAATGTACAACAGATCTTCCGCACTTATTATGAACAATTGAAACAAAAGAATTGCTGATTGTTTGAGGATGGATACATAAACATTCGATTAAATAATTTCCAGTACTATTACAGTCTGTTACAATAATGTATTTTCCTGTTGAATCAGGGTCTCCTCTCCAGAAAGTATAACCTGCATTGTTTTTACATTTATTTGCACTCATATTTGAATTTTGAATTATCTGTTGCCCCCAATTTAAACTCATTGTACTAGTACTTGTTTGTAAATCTTTTCCACAATTTGCGATTGAACACCAAAGAATATAGTTTTTATAAATATTACCTGTATCAGCTGTTCGAGAATTAATCTTGGCCGCATTACCATAGTTTGATGACCAGCAATATGAAAAACAAACTTGATCTAAGACAGATTGACCATTCAATGTAAAATAGATAGCCCCGCCTCCCTCATCATGTAATGTTAATGTCTCATAGCAACCTACAAATGAAGACTGTTCAACTAAAAGTATATGATTACCATCAACAGCTTTAATACGGATTCCAGAATTTGAAATTCCATAAAAATAACAATAACTGAAGTAGTAATTTTCAATGTCACTTGAACTAAATCTACGCTTCCTATATCTTTTGGAAATTGTTGGATCTCCACTATTTCCAAAGTGAGTGTCCCAATCCATTTTCATCATTGATATCATCTATCTAGTAACATGGGTGCTTCGTTGTACCATTTTCATCAAATGAATGCTAGATAGACAGTATTGCATCGAATGAATTTGAAATGATTTTGAAAGTAATGAAATTGAAAAATCCCTTCAAAATTTGAGAATAATATTTTTTATTCAATTGCATTATTTTTATATGAAGTAGCTTTACGAGCAAAAGAAAAATAGTATTACATTAAAAAAGTATAATATCGAACGGATTCAAATTATTTTTTGATAACTTTTGGCAAATTTTTATTTCTTAACATTTTCCCAAAAGTTAGCTTATTAATTATGGCTATATGTTGACCATTTTAATCTCAGTAATAAAAAATGTATAATTTTTTTGTGAACGTTTGAATTTTTTACTATCCTAAATGATATTAGATTTACAATCCATACTGTACACTTTAATCATTCATTGATGTATAATTATTGACGGTTCCAAGCAGATTCGCCAGTAGTATATAATGCGGGTTTTGTGACTTTTTTTGTAAACGTAAGAATTCATACAATATCGAGTGATTTTGTATCATTTTTTTTAACATATGAAGTAAAAAATGTATGATTCTTACGGTTTTTATTCTTACGTTTTTGAATAAATCAAGATTTAAAAAATTTTCAAAATTGTAAGACATTTACACTAAACCCATACATAATGAAATAAAAAAAATAAAAAAATAAAAAAAATAAACTTTAAAAATTCATGTCTTACATTTTTGAATAATTTATTTTTTAATTTGTATGAAAATGAGTGGATCAAGATTCGTAACCGTCAATCAATTAATGGATGCTCTTTCACCAATTCTTGAAAATGTTAAACAAGTAGATGTTTATTTCGATGATTATGTAGAAAGTATATATTATAAAGGTAAGTTTAATATTAAACCTATTGCTTTTGCATTTGATAATAAATTAATTGAAAATGCAAAAATTTGGGAATTAATTCCAGATATTGAATATATAACAAATATTAATGATAAATGGTTTAAACGAATTCCAACCACAAAAGTTCTTTGTAAATTAATGATCAAAACTGAGGAAAAAGAATTTAACGGGTTTAAATATCATCCAAATAAAGTTTCAGAACTAGAAAATGAAAAACTTCAGAAAAAATTAAACGATAGACTTTCAAATGATCGTATTGAAAAAATAAATAAACTAGCAGAAGTTGCATTTAATAATGAAATATTTGATGAATATAACCTTGAACTCAGTGATGAGCTTTAAGGACCCGGGCTCAACGAGTCATGATTTATGAAATCAATAATTTGATTTATTCGCTCTTCAATAATTTCTATTCTTTTTGTTAAATCATCAATTTTCATTAATGAGGTGATTCTTGATTGAGGAATAGATTTCAAACTAACCACTCCTTTTATTTTTGAAATTTTGAATCCATCAACTTTAAACATTTTATTCAATTTACATGTTGTCAATTCTTCAAATAATTTTTTATTATTAGCATAATAGTCATTAAATTCATCAACAGATGAAAAAATTTTATTTCAGTAATTGGTTTAACAACGTTTATTTTTTGTTGAACATTTTCACTTTCATTTATTTCTTCCTCCTCTGTTTCATTTATTTTTAAAATTGGTTTCATTTATCATTAAAAAAAATTAGAATATAAGTGATGAAATATATTTTTTAATTAATATTAAATCAGAAATGGCGGCAGGATTCTTTAAAAAATTATGGGATGGAATTAAGAAAGCTGCAGGTTGGGTTTATAAAAAGGTTATTAAACCTGTTGCAAACTTTTTGGCACCAGTAGCGAAAACGGCAGGAACTATCATAGGTGGAGTATTAGGTACTAAAGCAGGTAATCCGGCGATGGGAGCACAAGCAGGTAACGCAATTGGTGGAATTGCTGAAGGAATACTTAATAAAATAGGGGGTAAATAGTGGAAAAATAAATAAATATTATTTTTATCTTAGTATTGGTTGTAGTCTTTGATAAACTTTTTCTCCTTTATTTAAAATTTCTCTTATTGGGGCAGCTTTTGGTGTTATTGATTCAGCAACGTCACTAATTGCTTCTTTATTCTTAAATATCCAATTCGCTCCTTTCTTCATTGTTTCCCAAACTTTATGCGCTCCTCTTTTTACTTTATCCCACAGTTTCTTAAAGAATCCTGCAGCCATAGTTGATTATTTCATTAAAATTAAAAATTCATTTTCATATTTTAATTTTGATTTTTTATTTAATAATAAATGACGACTAACTATTTGGTGCCAAACACTAAACCAATTAATGGAAATGTGTTTCATTCATTCGAAAAGATAAATGAAATATTTGCAAAGAATGACGGAAGAAGATATTATAGAGAACTTGAAAGTTCATGCTATGACTCTGATGCTCCATATTTTGATGATAAACAAACTCATTTAAGAATTACAAATCCGGCTCATGATGTGAACCAATTAGGTGACACATATATTAAACGCAAAGTTAAAGCAACTCTAGTTTCAAATAAAGCTTTCACATGTGATGCCGCTTTTAAATGTATGCGTTTATTCGTTGGTTACAAATCATCAAATCAAAGCTTTAAACAATTAGAAGTAGAAACCGAAAGAGGTGATGCCGGTTATCTTCAGATGGATTGCGCCCGTGAATCTTTCGCATTTGCAACATATAAACCAAAATCAGAAAGGAAAGTTAAAAAGTTTGTTCATTCGTTATATAATAATGTTCAAAAATATGATAACTCAGTATGTGGTAAATATATTGACCCTTCAGAAGTTTTCAAGAAAGCAAATGAAGAAGTTGATATCACTTTTGATATGATTATTCCGGTAAATGATTTGTTAGCATTTCAGGCGTTCGATGATTATCCTAAATCATTTGGTGAAATCATTCTTAAATATTATGTTTTCAGGGATACTTTAGTATTTTGTCAGGTTGACCCGTTAAGAGTTGCTGATTTACAAAATTACGTTTATGAAAAGATAACTGATGAAAATTATGAAAAGATTATGAATCATGTTTATAAATATGATCGCAAATTCCAACAAATCGGACTTCCTGCCAAATTAATTACAAGCTTAGCCGCTACATCTGCTGACGCAACAGTTGATGACGTTATTATTTCATGCACAAAGATGGAAGTTTTAGAGGATAAATGCATTACACCAGGATACGGTTTAATTGAAGAATCAGTTAAAGCAATACCACGTTTATTCAGTAAGGAAGATCCATTCATGATTCCAGCTCAACATATTGACGTTCGTTCACTAAATGGAGGTTGCATCACTCCTGAAGGTATCAGTTCAGATTTCTCATACGCTCTTCATAATGTTACAGATGTTGTGTTAGCATTTCCGAAGAATGCAATGCAAAGAACGGTTTTAGAAAATCCAATGCTTCGAGGTCTTCAGGTCACTATAGATTCCAGAAACTTCCCCGATCAAGCGATGACCACAGTGGGCGACATATTCTTTACACGTATGCTTCAAGCTTCTGATTTAGATGGAGTGAATGAATGCACGGAAGAATACGAGGACTCATTAACTAGACCACTGAATGATGATAATGGCGCCATTAGCTAGAACATGGAAAGACCAAACTTCATTCTTATGCACTATTCCAGTTCAACGTGATGGAGCGGGTATATTCTTTGATGGATTAGAAACTTTCAACTCACAAGTTACAGTACAAGTGAAAGCTTATCCAATCATTCAGGGTGTAAATGACACTTACTGTTCAAAGGTGACAAATCCTCCTCAGGTTTGGTTTACTAGGACTACGTATTGGACATGGACACCGGATGAAGGTTTGAAATATCATCCAACAGGTACACCACCACAGTATAGAAGTTCATATGATGAAATATTGATGAATAGAAATGTATAAAATTATAAATTTATTTTTGATTAAATGGATTTAAATTCTGAAGAATTAGCGGGAGTATATAATACATACGTAGATGATATGATTAATGAAGCATTGAGTGATAATAGAAATGCTCTATCTAAGGAAAAATTAATGAAAATTCCATATTCTGAATGTTACTTAAATTCAATCACTGCAGCAATTGGTAAACAAAATAAAGGTAAAACATTAACGATATTAAAACAAATTATCATTATTGCTAACACTTCCCCCATTCACATGTGTTAATTTATATCAACCGTTCAGGTTCACCTTCAGATGATACATTTGAATCTTTAAAGCATTTAATCAAAATTCCAATTATTTATTTATCACAAGAAGAAGCAGAAGATTATTTAAAAAACTTTTTAATGTATAAAGAATTATATAATACAATCAAGAAGCAAGGATTAGAGGATAAAATTATTGATAAACAACGGGATGAATTATTTGAAACACTTTCTATTTCAAATTTTGATAGAGAATTTTTGCATTCACTCATTTTTCTAGATGATGCGGTGAAATCAAAACTAATAACAAATGAGAAATCATATTTTAATCAGTTATTAACTCAATGTCGACACATTCAGTGTTCATTCTTCATGGCTGTTCAATACTTCAAAGCATTAAGCACAAACATTAAATCAAATCTATCAACACTTTTCATTTTCAGTGGTTTTAGTCGTCAACAGTTGAACGTTATGCTTTATCAAGTGAATTTACCAATGAGCATTAATGAACTTTACACACAATATCAACAATTAGGTGAACATGGAAAAATAATAGTTGATTTAAATAAAGGATGTGTTAAATTTGATTAACTTTTTATAATTAATTTTTATTTTTTATTTATAATTAAACATGACAGAAATAGCAAATCTTTTACAGGTTCCATTAAAACAGGGACAAACAAAAAGGGGGGTGTGTATAATAGAACTATGAAAGTTCCAGACGGAATGAAAGAATTAGTTCATATTGTTGCTGGTCTTCAAAAAGATGTAAAACAAATGAGAAACGTTTTAACATTACCAGAAGCTCAAGCATATGCCAAACGTCAAGGTCCAAATTGGGAAGCACATGAAGCAGACATTACAGGTCCAAATGGAAAACCTGATGGTATAAATGAAGTTTTCGTTACTGATGGTCGAGGTAATATTAAAGTCATAAATGGTTACAAATTAACTGTATCTGATTATCCTAAACGTAAAGCATATAATGAATGTTATCCTATGCAATTTGATGAAAATGGAAAAGCTGTTAAACAATACATTGGAGAAGGTGAACATGGCCCAATTAATTCATACCGTCATAATCCATATTCATATTTCAATGAAGAATTAAACGCTATTGAAGAAGGACCGATGGATTACAATATGTTAATCAGTTTGATGGTCAATATGCAAATTTGAGACCTGAAATTCCAGCTAAGAAATTCTTTAAAGTTGCTTTATTCGATCCAGTGTTCAATGAACAGAAAGAAGCAATGAAAGCAGAATTTAAACCAATTCAAGTGGCAAGAATTTCTTCATCTTCACTTGCAGAAGCGTTCAAGGAATTGATAAAGAAACCACTTTATTCTCAACAAGGTTATAACTTTGATTTAATTAAAGAAAGTGATAGACGTAAATTAGAAAAATCAGATGGTTTTAAGAATGCATGTAATGAAATGATTAAAGATATTGTAAATGATGAAATAAGACTGGAAGAAACTCAAAGCAATATCAATAACATTATTGGTGCAGTTACAAAGAAAGTATAAGCAAACAATGATGAACCTTGGGATATTACCGTAACAACTAAATAAAACTTTAAATATATATTTTTCTTTTTTTATTCAATTATAAATGAGAAGACGTTTCACAAGTCAAAAGAACACTAACGCAAAAGCAGAGATTACGGTTGGTTATAACGTAAATGATGATAAATCACGAATTATTCAAAATGTTAAAGTTAATGTTAGCCCTGAATTAACAAGGTCAGCAACTCAACCAAATTTATTAACTCGTGACTTACCGAAGAATGAGGAGAATGAAGAAAACCATGAGAATGGAGACCCAATCATTTTATCTGAACCCGGTAAAGAACCCGTTGAAATCCCCACATATCCAACATACCCCCCACCTCTTTCATCAAACATCGAGAACCCAGGAATATACGATTCCAGTCGCAATGCGCCATATAAAATAGACATTAATTCTGAATTAATGAAAATTTACCGTGATATAATAACTGATAATTATGATTCAATAATAAATTTAATTGATCAATCCGGTTTAATTATTTTACCTTATGAATCATTAATTCACATTATCGCCATTCTTTGTGATGTTCAAGATTCAGACGTTAAGATTCAATTTTTCATAGATGATGAGGTTTCATGCTGCGGAACAGTTGCAAAAATAAATCCTATAAAGGATATTAGCACAATTAAGATATCAAAGAACGGAACAACAACTGAACTTCATTTAACATATAATGATATTTATAATAAAATAGTTGATGAATATAAAATATCACTTGAAAAATTCTTTGTTAAGGCTATTTAATATTCAAGCATTAACATTATTGAATAATAATCCTTTGAATCATAATCAATAATAATTGACCTTTCACCAGTTTCTATCGTTTGTTTTATTTCTTTTCGTTCCCCACTATCTGGATCGGTCATTGTAATTGTTTTTGTTATAGTATCAGCTTTATCTTTAACTTCAATCTTTTTTCCATCAGGATATTTAAACCAAAATTCCAAAAATTCGATATTGTCAATCTGTTCATATTTTAATCTATCAATTGCATTTTTAATACCATCTGAAAATCTTATGAAATGGTCATTATATGGGTTTGATTGAACTAAATTTGAATGAAGTGAAATATAACCCGATGATGAATATGACATTGACTCATATTTTCTGAAAACACTGAAATTTATAACATGAATGAATTTCTTATTCGTTGAATTTATGAATTCTTGAGGTAATCTTATTCTAGTTTTATTTATCACTGGAAAATAACGCTTTACCATATTTTTAATCGTAATAAAAATGTCAATTATCAATATTATTTCGAATAATAGTTGTGAATTAAATTTAACAGTTAGTGGAATTTATAATGTTACTCTCGTTTCTGTGAGTGGTAAATTTAATCCCATTCTTTTAGACCCTTCAGATTATATATCATTTATTAAAGATGACCTTGAAAAAACGTATGATATGTATATAAATAATGTGATAACGAAATGGGATATTAACACAATTTTAAGTTATTTAAATGAATCATTTATCGTTTGGTATGAAGAAAATTTTAAATCAAAACCTGATAAACTTTTTGAACTTGATGAAATAAATAACCTTATTAAATTCCCGCTGAAAATTAAATTTTGTACTCCTCATCTTCGTTCAATGTTGGGGATATTAAATTTTGAAAAAGATGTTGGGGATGTTTTGTATTCTGACACTGGTTCCAATTTCATTTTAATCAAATGTGATAAAGTTAATACCCCAATGAGATTTTCACATCAAACATTAGACCCTAACTCTTACCCATCAATACAAAACATTTTATCCATCAACTTAAACATATTTTCTTTATCATATCCGTTTCAATTATCCGGGAATTCATTTATTCTTCATTCAAAAGATTTATCAAATATTAAATTTAGAATAACTGACCTATTTGATTGTGATTTAGAATTTATGAATGAAATATTATGGCAATTTCAAATAGAAAAAATAGCTGATGAGATAACAGATTAAATATTTATTTTTAAATCATAATAAATGATTAAACAACAGCAACCACAGCAACTTAAGGCACAGACCATTACTTACGCCACATATGCATATAATTCAAAGACGGCAGAACAAACGCAAAGGTTGAAATATGGAGATTTGGAGATAGTATTGAAAAATGACCATTTTGAATTCGTTTGCAAGGGTGGTGCAGTGATATCAAATATAAAAGAAATTTTATTTATGAATTCAAAAATTAAAGGAATAACGGATGATATAACATCAATTCCACCAGAAGAACAAAGATATTACGCATTAAATGCATTTCCTAAAGTTTTGAAGATTGGAAGATTTAATTTAAATGAGGAATTCATAGAAGGTTTCCTAAATGACATAATGAAGAAGGCAGATAAGGAATATGTGGATAGTGAGTTAATGAAGAAGGTAGATAAGGGACTTGTGGCTAGTGCATTAATGAAGAAAGCAGATAAGGAATATGTTAATGAAAAAGATAATGAAATTATCGAAAGGGTTGAATGGTACCATGAACGGACATCGAAGATTTTAAAAACTAAAGCTGATACAGGATGGGTTTCAGAATGTTTAGACCTTAAAGCAGATAAAACTTATGTTAACGATGAGTTAGAGAAGAAAGCAAATAAAGAATATGTGAATGAAATATACCAAAGTTTGATAGGAACAACTAAAAATATTGAAACTATTGCTGGTGACTTTTCCGTCTATGAAGAAAATAAATATTTTAGAGGGCAATTGGTACATTCCTTAAAAAATGGTATGCGGTGTAAACTCATTCCGAAAAATAACAATGAAATGTATGTAAGTTATAAAAAGAATGATGACACACAAGTTAAAGTTCCATTAGACAACAACTGTTACTTAAACTTATATGGAGACGAACAAAAGAAATATTTAAGAGTTTATGAAATGACGGATATGACATTGTCTAACGTAGCTCCAGCACCGTATTATTTCGACTCTGGAGATGATGTCAGAACGCCGCATGTAGATGAACAAAAGCAAACATTATATTTAGATTATTATAGATATAAAAGATATAATGCAATAGAAAAAACGAGAATAGTATATTATTATATAGATGACAAAAATAAATATTATAGTCAAGATTTTACATACCCTGAAAACATAAGATTATATTATAAAAAATATTCTGACACAAACCAGAAGAAACCCGAAATAGTTACACTATATTTTAAGTTCAAAAGAGACAATCCTATATTATCTCATATGTTTGATTTAATGAACCCAGTAGGTTCTATTTATACATCTATGGATGTGAGAGGTCCTCAAGCAATGTTTGGTGTTGGTGCATGGGAACAAATAGTCGACAGGTTTTTGTATTGTGCAAACTCTTCAAAGGAAACAGGGGGAAGTAAAACGATTACAGGTGAAAATTTACCTGCACACAGTCACTACATAGATTTAAGTACATCTCAAGCGGGTTGGCATAAGCATAGATATTGGGATTGGTCAGGAATGACAAAAGGTAAAGGATATGATGTTAAAGACAACGTTAAGTTTGCCATAAATTGTTACTGGAGTGACACTCAGGGAGAAGGAAACCATACACATCGCGTTTCAGGATATACACAAACAACGGGACAAAGTAAAGATTACATGCCACCATTTATGACTGTATTCGCATGGTATAGAGTTCAATGAACGCTCAATGTTTGTTTCACAAACTTTAGGAGCTCCAAAAGAGCAAACGGCATAATTTAAATTTTTATTTTTATCATAAATGAATACCCCACAAGCTCAAAATTTACCACGAATCATAACAAGGGAGGAAATGATAAAAATGATGCAAGAACATGTTAAAAATAACAAACCACTAAAACTGAGAAAATGTGGTTATGCAGTAATGATGGAAAGAGAGATGTTGTCGAAGAGGAATAAAAATTAAATTTGGATTGAGTTTAAAAATTCATCTTTATTAAATTCATCTCTTCCAATCAATTTATTTATTCTATTAAATTCTTTTATTTTTGCTTCACTCAGTTTAAGGATTGAACGGTAAGTTTCTAATTTTTCGATTATTTCTTTCCTCTCTTTATCGTTTTCAACCTCACCGCATTGTGGCTTCTTTTTGTAATAGCATATTTTTGATTTAATTCTGTTTAGTTTCTTTTTATATTCATTGTCTGGACTCTTGGATGCTTCGTTGTCACTCATTTCTTACGAAATAAAAAAAATTAAATATTATTTAAATATAATGGAGTAATAAAATAAATCGGAATTTCTATTAATTTATTGTTAACCTCAACTAATGCATTGCCGTTAATATATCTAACAAATTCAGCTATTGTGTCAAATCTTCGTCTTCTTTTTGTCATTGATTTATCAGTTTTTCCATAATCGAGATGAATCAAAACTTTATCCCCTTTTTAAAATTCATGAGCCCCGAATTAATTTGTTCACGTTTAACATCATTCAACCTTTCCATTTGCTTTCTAATATATTCCCATTCTTTTGAAATATCATTTTTCATTTCCACTGGTTTCATGTTTATTGTTCTATGCCATGTATTATTGTAATAATATACTAACTGTTGTATGATGGAGTCATGATTTCCATCCCAGTATATCTGACCGTTAACCCCTAACGCATCTCTAAGAGTTCTCATTACCGCATCAACTATTTTATTATGAAACGTATATGGAGAGGATGAAAAGTAAAAATTAATTTGTGGGAAATAATGAGTCATAGCTGCCTGAAATCCTTTATCACCATCACCCCTGATATTATCTACTCTTTCATGATCTAGTAAGTATTGAATAGCTCTTCTTGTTTCCTGTTCTGTTTTCCCTTTCACTGGAATGCAATATAAATATCTGGTGTTAATGTTAATGGTAAATAAATAAGTAACGTTTCCTTTTGAATATTCTAAATGATCGATTTCATATGAATATGGATATGGTGCAAATGAAGGGCGACTAAATTTTTCCTTTAACGGTTGAATTTTTGGGTCAATTGGTTTATTTAATATCTTGAAATCCTTTTTAAAATCTTTTTGTTTCTTTAATGTTTGAAATGGATATAATAAAGTGAATGATGAAAGATTAACTGAAGGAGGAGGTGGTTTTGGTGTTGCAGGTACTGTCGTTAGAGGTTTTGGTGTTGCAAGTGGTTTAATTTTATCTGCTTTGATTTTGGATGATGAAGTTTTGGAATTCCTTCCTTCCTTCATTAATTCTGGATGTATTCTATTCATTTGTTTTAAATATGCTGTATATAAAGGTTTAATATACTTTCCCGCTTCGAGTTTATGTTGAAGGATGAATTCCAAAAGTTGATCTTCATTTAAAAGTCGGGCTGAATATGGTTTAACTAATGAATCATAAATTAAAGCTTGTGCATCATTTATGGTCTGAAGGACCTGGGCGTTTTGCACCTTTTGTTTTTGCTTCTTTTGCTTTTGCGGCTCAGGATTATATAATTTATATAATTCATCAATATCTTCTTCTGTTAATACTTTATTTTTAAAATCTTTCAATTGTTTCAGTTGTGATTTAGTTTTTCCCTTTGAATATTCATTATTTTTAATTTTGTCTTTAATTTTAGAAATTATTCTATC